CCTTGCGCTCCCTGGTATTCCTAGGAGCATGCCTGTTTGAGTGTCATGAATCCCTCAAATCCCAATGTTTTTTAAAAAGAAGCATTGCTTGGATTTGGTTGTGGGCCCTTGCAGTCTTTCACGAGTCTGCTGGCCTTAAAGATATTAGCTGGACCTCTCTAATCTCTTAGCAGAGTACTTCCATTTGATGTAATAAAATTGCATTGGTGGAAGCTCTATTAAGTACCTAGAGCAAGTCTGCTTCTTAACCCGGCGCGAGTGGCAACACTCAACCCACTATTTCATAACTCTGGCCTCAAATCAGGTAGGACTACCCGCTGAACTTAAGCATATCAATAAGCGGAGGAAAAGAAACTAACAAGGATTCCCCTAGTAACGGCGAGTGAAGCGGGAAGAGCTCAAATTTGAAAGCTGGTACCTTCGGTGCCCGCGTTGTAATCTCGAGAAGTGTTTTCCGTGCTGGACCATGTACAAGTTCCTTGGAATAGGACGTCATAGAGGGTGAAAATCCCGTACTTGACATGGACGCCCAGTGCTTTGTGATACACTCTCCACGAGTCGAGTTGTTTGGGAATGCAGCTCAAAATGGGTGGTAAATTCCATCTAAAGCTAAATATTGGGGAGAGACCGATAGCGAACAAGTACCGTGAGGGAAAGATGAAAAGCACTTTGGAAAGAGAGTTAAACAGTACGTGAAATTGTCGAAAGGGAAGCGCTTGAAGTTAGACATGCCTATTAGGATTCAGCCTTGCTTTTGCTTGGTGTATTTCCTGGTAAGCAGGCCAGCATCAGTTTTGTCTGTCGGATAAGGGTAGAAGGAATGTGGCCCCTCGGGGTGTTATAGCCTTTTACTGGATACGGCGGATGGGACTGAGGACCGCAGTGCGCCTTTATGGCGGGCCTTTTGGCACCTTCGCACTTAGGATGCTGGCGTAATGGCTTTAAGCGACCCGTCTTGAAACACGGACCGAGGAGTCTAACATGTCTGCGAGTCTTTGGGTGGCAAACCCATAGGCGCAATGAAAGTGAATGCAGGTGGGATCCTTACGGAGCACCATCGACCGATCCGGATCTTCTGTGATGGATTTGAGTAAGAGCATATATGTTGGGACCCGAAAGATGGTGAACTATGCCTGA